GGCGCCGCGAGCTCCGCGCTCGGCTCACCCGCAGCCGTCACGTCCTGCAGCTGCAGCAGCAGCTCCGCTTGCACGGCGGCGTTCCCCGCGGCGTCACAGCGGCGGCAGTCGACGCGGCACAGGGCGACGGGGCCGAGGCTCCCGGGGAAGTTGGGGATGCCGACGGAGCAGTCTCCCGCGAGCACGTCTCCCGCGGACTTGGCGACGCTCGAGTCGTCCGCCGTCTCGTCGCCCGAGAAGTAGATCTGCCAACGACACCGAGCGCGACGTGGGACGGTCGAGCGCGATCGCACGCGATGCCCGCCGTCGAATCGTCGTGAGCTGAGCCGGGCTCGGTGAGCTCGGTTAACTCCCTACACGGGAGAGCTCTTGGGCGATGGCAAAATATGAACGTTGAGTTTGCGTCGAGTTCTTGGTTCTTTCGGTAAAGTCGTCACGTAGAATGGAAATAATAAAAATAAAACATAATAAAATAATTCTCAGGACGTTTCGGCCACAACGCAAGCAGCCATCCTCAGGTGAAGAACAGGTCTGTCGGAAAGACAGCGTCTGTTGCATTCATCTTCTTGGTTCTTTTGGTAAAGTCACGTAGAATGGAAATAATAAAGAACAGGTCTCCACCTGAGGACGGCTGGTTGCGTTGTGGCCGAAACGTCGTGAGAATTGCATTTTATTATGTTTTATTTTTATTACTTTATTACTTCCGTTCTACGTGGTGACTTTACCCAAAGAACCAAGAAGATGAATCCCTGCAGTCACGAAATCAGCTTTAAATCTTAAGACAATCACTAGTCACGACTGACGTGAAATGCGAGCCCCACCAAGGTCATGTCTCCACTGGTGACGTTCTCTGCGTAGCGTCTGGGCATCGTGAACCACTGGACGACGACGTGGTCCAGGTGTGTGGCCAGTGGGGAGAAGGAGCAGGGGAGAGTGACGTTCTCTCCCTCCCTCACAGACAGACTCTTCGGGAGAGTGAGCTGGAGCTTGACAGCCAACGCCGCATCTGCAGAGAGACCGGTCACGCTCGTTACGCATACACCTTGTTGACCATGCAAAACAGATTTAACTACGCATCAAAACGCTATACCACAGAGCTCATGGCATTTCTGACCAACACCACCTGGCCAGTGAATTGAGACATGTACATCGGGCCCTCAGGACGAACGGATACTCTGACCGCACCATCCGCCAAGCTGTTTCTCCCACCATACAGAAACAGCCACTTGAAACTCCGATCAAAACCATCACGTTGCCATACATAGCAGGCGTGACCAAAAAGATCTCCAAAATTCTAAACAACATAAGATCCAAGTCCGATTCAGTACAGTACATAACATCCGTGATCTAATTCCATCTGTGAAAGATGTCATTCCTGACTTACAATACCCTGGAGTCTACAAACTGAGTTGCAGTGGTGGTGATTGCTAGATTGGAGAAACGAAACGCCATGTCTCTGATCGTGTCCGCGAGCACAAGTCAGATCTGAAACACGGCAGAACTGATTCTTCCGCCGTTGCCGATCATTGCTACAACGCTGTGGCTCTCATGAAATTGTCTTTTCCGAGACCAAGGTGCTCTGCAAACCTCCTGGCTACCATCAAGGGTTTTTACACGAAGCCATCCAAATATACAAACACAGACATAATTTCAACCGTGATGATGGGTACAAACTGAGAAATCATTGGAAAGATGTTATTGACCATGCGAAAAAGATTTAACTACACATATTTGGACCATCTTATTTGACAGACAACTATTCCTTAGTTACCGTACAGTTCACTGATAGACAGCCACTGGCACGCCCAGGGCGGTGTCACAGGGGTCGCATCGCCGTGAGCTCCTCGTCGTCCTCACGGTGGGAGATTTAAAAACAACTATGACAATTAGCAGGTGAAAATGTGACCCTTTTAATCAAAAGTTACCTGGCCACAAATGCGGAAATTTATCGCAGAAAAGTCATCGGAATGCACGTCGACTCGAATGTGGAGGAAAAAACAGAGGACCCGGAGACAAATCCACGCGGCCACAGGGACAGACTCGCAAACTCCAAATATACAGCAGCAGGCATCAGGGTCGGATTGAACCCACGACCTCCTGTACACCAGGCGAGGTAGTTAACATCTCCTAGCCCCCGTGATGATGATGAGAGAGACACCGCAAACTCCAAATATACAGCAGCAGGCATCAGGCTCGGAATTGAACCCACGATCTCCTGTACACCAGGCGAGGTAGTTAACATCTCCTAGCCACCGTGATGATGACGATGAGAGAGGGAGACTCGCAAACTCCAAATATACAGCAGCAGCAGGCATCAGGCTCGGAATTGAACCCACGACCTCCTGTACACCAGGCGAGGTAGTTAACATCTCCTAGCCACCGTGATGATGACGATGAGAGAGAGAGACACGCAAACTCCCAATATACAGCAGCAGGCGTCAGGGTCGTGATCGAACCCACGACCTCCTGCATTCAAGGCGAGGCAGATCGCAGTGACCTCTCACCTAGCTAACGAAAGGGCACCGTCCAATGTGTGCTGGGTGAGTGTCTCTGGGTGTGAACTCACCCAGAAGGAGGAAGACGAACAGTGAGATGAGGACCGGCTTCATGGCCGGCTCTGTCTGCTGATGATCGCAAAAGAGAACGAGCCATTAGTCCATCTCACGGCCGCACTCCAACGGTTCACACTCCCTCACTTTCACATCACTCCGCTTCAACATCTTTCCATTCGTGACATCGGCGATGAGTTTCATCTTTTTGCATTCGGTTTTCCCATCTGCTATAATATAAATGCACGCTTAATTTCTACACGCCAGAGGTCGATACCCGGCTACCCGTACCCGGCCGGGATTTCATTTATACCTGATGATGATTGCTTGTGTTGCAATCGAAACGTCGTATGCTTGTATTAAATGTATTATTTTATCTTTACACGTGACTTTACCGAAAGAACCACCAAAGAGTAATTCCTGCAGTCACGAAAGCTCCAAATTAAGTTTGAATGTTTGCGTGTCGTTAAACCGACCATCAGCCGACACAGCCAGTTGGCAAGGTTTATCACGCGAACACACCGTGCCAATCTGTCACTGGAGAAGCACTAACCGGTTGTGTGTTGGAGTGTCTGTGTGTGTGTGTACACACGTACACACACACAGTGTGTGTGTGTACACTGTGTGTGTGTGTGTACACTGTGTGTGTGTCTGTGTGTGTACACTGTGTGTGTGTACACTGTGTGTGTGTGTACACTGTGTGTGTGTACACTGTGTGTGTGTATACACTGTGTGTGTCTGTGTGTGTGTGTACACTGTGTGTACACTGTGTGTCTGTGTACACTGTGTGTGTGTACACTGTGTGTGTGTCTGTGTGTGTGTGTACACTGTGTGTGTGTATACACTGTGTGTCTGTGTGTGTCTGTGTGTGTGTGTACACTGTGTGTGTGTACACTGTGTCTGTGTGTACACTGTGTGTCTCTGTGTGTACACTGTGTGTGTCTGTGTGTGTGTACACTGTGTGTGTGTGTACACTGTGTGTGTACACTGTGTGTGTGTACACTGTGTGTGTCTGTGTGTGTGTATACACTGTGTGTCTGTGTGTGTCTGTGTGTGTGTGTACACTGTGTGTGTGTGTACACTGTGTGTCTGTGTGTACACTGTGTGTCCGTGTGTGTACACTGTGTGTGTGTCTGTGTGTGTACACTGTGTGTGTGTATACACTGTGTGTCTGTGTGTGTGTCTGTGTGTGTGTATACACTGTGTGTGTGTGTACACTGTGTGTGTACACTGTGTGTGTACACTGTGTGTGTCTGTGTCTGTGTGTGTGTACACTGTGTGTGTGTATACACTGTGTGTCTGTGTGTGTCTGTGTGTGTGTGTACACTGTGTGTCTGTGTGTACACTGTGTGTCTGTGTGTGTATACTGTGTGTGTACACTGTGTGTGTCTGTGTGTGTGTACACTGTGTGTGTATACACTGTGTGTCTGTGTGTGTGTGTACACTGTGTGTGTGTACACTGTGTGTGTGTACAATGTGTGTGTGTACAATGTGTGTGTGTGTGTACACTGTGGTGTGTGTTGTACACTGTGTGTGTGTTCAGCACGCCCGGCGGACCCGTTATTCGATCCCGACTCCTGCCGGGGGAGGCGCTCGGGCGCGGCGGGTCCGCTAGGAAAACTCGGGATGGCCCGAGGCCGACTAGCCGCAGTCTTCCCTCCCCTCTGTTCTAGATGGTGACGGTGTGCTGATGTTGTTGTTGATTGGCTGATGATGTTGTTGATGTTGATGTTGTGATGATGTGTTTGTTGATGTTGTTGATGTTGTTGTTGATGTTGCTGTTGTTGTTGTGCTGATGTTGTTGTTGATGCTGATGTTGTTGTTGATGCTGATGATGAGTTGATGCTGATGTTGTTGTTGATGCTGCTGATGATGTTGTTGATGCTGATTGCTGATTATGTTGTTGTTGATGATAATGTTGTTGATGCTGATGATGTTGTTGATGCTGCTTCTGATGATGTTGATGATATTGCTGCTGATGCTAGGGTGGTGATGATGTTGCTGATGATGGTGTAGATGATGTTATTAATGATGTTGCTGATGCTGATGATGTTGTTGATGCTGCTTCTGATGATGTTGATGATATTGCTGCTGATGCTAGGGGTGGTGATGATGTTGCTGATGATGGTGTAGATGATGTTATTAATGATGTTGCTGATGCTGATGATGTTGTTGATGCTGATGATGTTGTTGTATATGATGGTGTAAATGATGTTTATTGATAAGGTTGATGATCGCAAACATCAACATAATTTATTAATTTATTCAGTTAGGGTAGCCTCTCATTGTGGGAGGGGAGGGTCCTTGTACCCCAGAAAGCGACGTCATGTCATCTGCTGCCGCGTGACGTCATGTCATCTGCTGCCGCGTGACGTCACGTCATCTGCAGCCGCGTGACGTCATCTGCTGCCGCGTGACGTCACGAGCTAACAGGAAGCTGGAGGTCCGCGCGTGAACTGCAATCCGAGGTGAGAAATTCTCATCGTCGTGGTGGTTGTGGTTGTGGTGGTTGTTGTTGTGGTTGTTGTGGTTGTTGTTGTTTACCAAGCTAGAGCCTCGCTCTCTCTCTCGTAGGGATGTCACTAGAGCAGCAGCAGCTTGTGAATCGATGTCCAAGTTGGAACTTTACAACGCGGGGCCTAGACACGCGGGGCCTTGCCTCCTGCCCTCGCCTGGTCGCGTTTGCTTTAATTCCCTCTCTTAAGTTTAATTTGTCTTCACGCGGCTCGCTACTTTGTCACTTTGGTTTATTGTAGATATTAACGCAGTTTTTTTTTTTCGTTTTTTTACCAGCCCAAGCCCGCTTGAGCTGCTGTACCGCTCTTGTTTACAGAAGCTACCTGCCCACGACACAAGGTGGGTTTTGTCAACGCGTGTCTCGGTGTTTTGACTTAAAACTTTAGTAAGTGCAGCAATTCATATTCTTGGTTCTTTCGGTAAAGTCACGGAGATTAAAAAGAATAACAGATAATAATGTTAAATAAAATAAAAAAAATTGCAAATAAAGAATAAACCCACCACGTTTCGATCGCAACACAAGTGGTCTTTTTTTAATTTAATTTCATGATCTGTTATTTTTATTTCCTATCTACGTGACTTTACCGAAAGAACCAAGACTACGTGTGTCAATGTCTGTCTGTCAAAGACGCTGATGTTGAATGTGGAGGGGAAAACCGGGGCGGGGTGTCTGGTGTAAACTCCACACCACCACCGGTTTACCATGGCACTGTGTGTGACAGTGTCAAGTTTGTGTTTGCAGTAAAGTCTATCAACTCTGTGTGACAGTGTTGAGTTTGTGTTTGCAGTGAAGTCTATCAACTCTGTGACAGTATCAAGTTTGTGTTTGCAGTAAAGTCTATCAGTGTGTGACAGTGTAAAGATGGTGTGTGACAATGTAAAGTATATTAACTCTGATGAACACGGAGGTGATATCAAAACAATAGTTTATTTTAGTTTTCCTCTGGAACTCTTTATAAGAGTGGAAACAGGAAGTTAGCACAGCACACACACGTGCAGCAGCTGACGTCAGATCTGTTCATCCCATCATTCAAGGACATCTGAGCCTGGCTTCATACCGCTAAGTTGCCACTGAACAACATTCCTGCTGCGGAGGGAGCTGCTAGGAACGTCGGGTTGCTCGCTCAATGGCCTGCAGGGTCAACGGCGGCGTGGTGTATTCCGCAAATATGCCCGACTGTGAGGGCGGGCACAAGCCGGCGTGAGTAGGTTAAACGTTGAGTTTTATAAGGGCACCACGGGGTGACCAGCCCCTCCCCACCCAGTCCCACCCCTCCCACCCACCACCCAGCCCCACCCAGCCCCTCTCCACCCTCCCCACCCAGCCCCTCCCTTCACGACGGACACAATAATCCCCTGTGGGCTGGTGTAACCAGGAGGTTCCTACCAGTATTAATTTACGCATTTCTGCATAACACAAATAGGATTGTTTTCAACACCCTTTGCTATGTCAGCTGAATTTAGTTCTTATACATTTTTATTTTGTAGCCAGACAGCCGAAATTGTGTGCTCGGAGTTTTGGGTTCACATTCATTTTGAAGATACGAGGGCTTCCAGGCATATTTATGACCATTCACCCTCTCATTGTGTGCAATAACAGCCTGTGTGATGAATTTGGGAAACTGTTTCACTACATCATGAATATATGAATAAGTATAGACGTGTAAGTCACGTGTGACTGTGTATATATGCATTCCGCTGTGTCTCGATACTGACGTGTAGATGGTGTGGATATTCTTTTTCTGTCTGCAGCTGTCGCTTCCTCTGCAGAATTGGTCTGATGGAGCAAAGGCACTCGGCGCAGCTCGGTGCGACAAGGCATCAATGCGACCGGTGTGCATACAGCACGGATCGTCCTGCAAATTTGACACGGCACCAGAGAACTCACACAGGAGAGAAACCCTTCAAGTGCAGTGTGTGTGGGAAGGCGTTTGCACAGTCATCTACTCTTGTAACACACCAGAGAACACACACGGGAAAGAAACCCTTCAAGTGCAGTGTGTGTGGGAAGACGTTTGCAAAGTCATCTACTCTTGTAACACACCAGAGAACACACACGGGAGAGAAACCCTTCAAGTGCAGTGTGTGTGGGAAGGCGTTTGCACAGTCATCTACTCTTGTAGCACACCAGAGAACACACACGGGAAAGAAACCCTTCAAGTGCAGTGTGTGTGGGAAGACGTTTGCAAAGTCATCTACTCTTGTAGCACACCAGAGAACACACACGGGAGAGAAATCCTTCAAGTGCAGTGTGTGTGGGAAGGCGTTTTCACTTTCATCTACTCTTGTAAAACACCAGAGAACACACACGGGAGAGAAACCCTTCAAGTGCAGTGTGTGTGGGAAGGCGTTTACACTTTCATCTACTCTTGTAGCACACCAGAGAACACACACGGGAAAGAAACCCTTCAAGTGCAGTGTGTGTGGGAAGACGTTTGCAAAGTCATCTACTCTTGTAGCACACCAGAGAACACACACGGGAGAGAAACCCTACAAGTGCAGTGTGTGTGGGAAGGCGTTTGCACTTTCATCTACTCTTGTAAAACACCAGAGAACACACACGGGAGAGAAACCCTTCAAGTGCAGTGTGTGTGGGAAGACGTTTGCAAAGTCATCTACTCTTGTAACACACCAGAGAACACACACGGGAGAGAAACCCTTCAAGTGCAGTGTGTGTGGGAAGGCGTTTTCAGATTCATCTACTCTTGTAAAACACAAGAGAACACACACGGGAGAGAAACCCTTCAAGTGCAGTGTGTGTGGGAAGGCGTTTTCAAATTCATCTACTCTTGTAAAACACAAGAGAACTCACACGGGAGTGAACCCCGTCAAGTGCAGTGTGTGTGGGAAGGCGTTTGCACAGTCATCTGCTCTTGTAGAACGCCAGAGAACACACACGGGAGAGAAACCCTTCAAGTGCAGTGTGTGTGGGATAGCGTTTGCACAGTCAGCACATCTTCATGTACACCAGAGAACACACAAGCATCAGAAGATCCACCAGGAGTGGAGTCTGAAATCAGCTTGTGAAAGTCAAAGTTCTGCAATGAGCCCATCCCTCATCAAACAAGAACCGGACGACAATCCCAGCTTGGACACTTTGAAAGGTATCGAGGTGAAATGTGAAGAGGTGAAGGTGAAATGTGAAGAAGTGATGGTGAAGAGCAAAGAAGTGAAGGTAAAATGTGAAGATGAAGATTCAACTCCAAAATGTGACCTTCACATCGATGGAGGCAACGTGAAGCAGGAGGAGAATTCTGACTGTGAGGCAGAGCGAGGCAACTCCCAGCAGTTTGTGGAAGTGGAGGTGTGGGTGGCCTCCGAGACAATACAAAGTCAAATGGAGACCCGGTAGATGTGTAAGCCAGAGACGATGTCGCTCCAATAGATGCACCTTTGTCACAGGCCTTTAATGACAAGAATGTGAAGTTGAACACTCAGTTCCTAGGTTCAACCTGCAGGGTAAGGGTGGCCAGTCTTTGTGGACCTGTGTGTTGGGTTGATCTCTGACCAGCAGAGAGCCAATAAGCTCCCAAGCATTCACGATGTTATAATTGCTTTTACATGGTGCTTAATCCGCTCAGCAACTCTGAGTTTTGTATCGTACCTCGTCTCAAACATTCTAAGAGCACCCCAAGTGGCAGCTGCCCCTGTGTGGCACACGGTGGTGGCCCTGCACCGGCCTGCGTGTGGACAAGAGCCTGTCAGTAGGGGGCGATGGTTGATGTGTAATCTCAGTTGTGGAGTTTGTCGGTAATGTTTAGAATTTGCTACATTTTTGACCCAGTCGCCAACTTGCAAAGGCCTACTCGTTTTGAATTGTACAATTGTGTGTTTCACATCCACTGTTCAGTAGAGGGTGCATTCTTTAAATAGCTCCTTGTTAATAAGATGTTATCTAAACTAAATTATTCAATTTTGGAAGAACGTAATCAACCAGGTAGGGTGTTGACTTGTGTTGGCTGACTCTTGTGTTGTGTTGCATTATATTTCTAAGTTCACTGTTTGTTTTCTAATTCACTTGTTGTACCTGACGATGGTTGCTTGTGTTCCAATCGAAACGTCGTATTCTATAAAATTTCGTTCTACGAGACTTTACTGAAAGAACCAGAGAATAAGATGTTATCTGATGCAGTATATTTCACTGCAGTTATTCAATTTTGTGCATATGCCTGTCAATAATTTAGAATGAATACTTGTCTGATTGTGTGCGTACATGTAACACACTGTATGTACACAATGCACACACAGTGTACACACACAGTGTACACACACTGTACACACAGTGTACACACACACAGTGTACACACACACACAGTGTACACACACAGTGTACACACACGCACAGTGCACACACAGTGTACACACACGCACAGTGTACACACACGCAGTGTACACACACCCACAGTGTACACACACACACTGTGTACACACACAGTATACACACACACACAGTGTACACACACACACAGTGTACACACACAGTCTACACACACAGTGTACACACACACACAGTGTACACACACACACACACACAGTGTACACACACCCAAGGGGTCTCGATTCAAGAGATGGAGCAATGGAAAATGGATCTAAATCAACTTAAACTCCAACCCCGCTCTGTGACGTCACCACTCAGCATTACGTCATCCGCGTGAAACGCCAGGGGAGGTGTACCTCGCTAGTGACGTCATGTCACCAAGGATGTCACCCCCCTCCCCCCCGTCCACCGCGCTCTTGAACGTGACGTCACCTCCGCCTCGGTCACTGCAGATGTCGTTCCAATTGCCAATCCTTATTTGGGCAAAGCCACGCCCAGTGACTGGCGGCTCATTAACATAAAGAGTTCGTTAAAGCCGTCACGAGGTTATTGCAACGGTGTCATTAACATAATTTATTCATATTTAGTTACAGAGCCGCTCGTTGTGGGAGGGGCGTGTCTCGTGCCCAGGAAGTGACGTCATGTCACCTACTACCGCGTGACGTCACGAGGTAACAGGAAGCTGTCGCCCCGCGCGTGCAGTGAAATCCGAGGTGAGAAATTCTCATCGTCGTGGTGGTTGTTGTTGTGGTTGTTGTTGTGGTTGTTGTTGTTTACCAAGGTAGAGCCTCGCTCTCTCTCTCTCGTAGGGATGTCAATAGAGCAGCAGCAGCTTGTGAATCGATGTCCAAGTTGGAACTTTACAACGCGGGGCCTAGACACGCGGGGCCTTGCCTCCTGCCCTCGCCTGGTCGCGTTTGCTTTAATTCCCTCCCTTAAGTTTAATTTGTCTTCACGCGGCTCGCTACTTTGTCACTTTGGTTTACTGTAGATATTAACGCGGTTTTTTTTTTCGTTTTTTTACCAGCCCAAGCCCGCCTGAGCTGCTATAACGCTCTTGTTTACAGAAGCCACCTGCCCACGACACAAGGTGGGTTGGGGTTTTGACTTAAAACTTTAGTAACTGCAGCAATTCATATTCTTGGTTCTTTCGGTGAAGTCACGGAGATTAAAAAAATAACAGATAATAATGTTAAATAAAATTAAAAAATTGCAAATAAAGAATAAACCCACGACGTTTCGATCGCAACACAAGTGGTCTTTATTTAATTATTTCATGATCTGTTATTTTTATTTGCTATCTACGTGACTTTACCGAACGAACCAAGACTACGTGTGTCAATGTCTGTCTGTCAAAGACGCTGAATGTGGAGGGGAAAACCGGGCAGTGTGTGACAGTGTAAAGTATATTAACTCTGATGAACACGGAGGTTGTATCAAAACAATAGTTTATTTTAGTTTTCCTCTGGAACTCTTTATAAGAGTGGAAACAGGAAGTTAGCAGCACACACACGTGCAGCAGCTGACGTCAGATCTGTTCATCCCATCATTCAAGGACATCTGAGCCTGGATTCATACCTCTAAGTTGCGATTAAACAACATTCCTGCTGCTGCGGAGGGAGCTGCTAGGAACACGTCGGGTTGCTCGCTCAATGGCCTGCAGGGTCAACGGCGGCGTGGTGTATTCCGCAAATATGCCCGACTGTGAGGGCGGGCACAAGCCGGCGTGAGTAGGTGAAACGTTGAGTTTTATAAGGGCACCACGGGGTGACCAGCCCCTCCCCACCCAGCCCCACCCTCCCCACCCACCACCCAGCCCCACCCAGCCCCTCCCCACCCTCTCCACCCTCTCCACCCAGCCCCTCCCTTCACGACGGACACAATAATCCCCTGTGGGCTGGTGTAATCAGGAGGTTCCTACCAGTATTAATTTACGCATTTCTGCATAACACAAATAGGATTGGTTTCAACACCCTTTGCTATGTCAGCCGAATTTAGCTCTTATAATTATTTATTTTGTAGCCAGACAGCCGAAATTGTGTGCTCGGAGTTTTGGGTTCCCATTCATTTTGAAGATACGAGGGCTTCCAGGCATATTTATGACCATTCACCCTCTCATTGTGTGCCATAACAGCCCGTGTGATGAATTTGGGGAAACTTTTTCACTGCATCATGAATATCTATGAATAAGTATAGACGTGTAAGTCACGTGTCACTGTGTATATGCATTCCGCTGTGCCTCAATACTGACGTGTAGATGGTGTCGCTTCCTCTGCAGAATTGGTCTGATGGAGCAAAGGCACTCGGCGCGGCTCGGTGCGACAAGGCAACAATGCGACCGGTGTGCATACAGCACGGATCATACTGCAAATTTGACACGGCACCAGAGAACTCACACGGGAGAGAAACCCTTCAAGTGCAGTGTGTGTGGGAAGGCGTTTGCACAGTCATCAAATCTTGTAGAACACCAGAGAACACACACGGGAGAGAAACCCTTCAAGTGCAGTGTGTGTGGGAAGGCGTTTGCACAGTCATCTACTCTTGTAAAACACCAGAGAACACACACGGGAGAGAAACCCTTCAAGTGCAGTGTGTGTGGGAAGACGTTTGCAGAGTCATCTTCTCTTGTAAAACACCAGAGAACACACACGGGAGAGAAACCCTTCAAGTGCAGTGTGTGTGGGAAGGCGTTTGCAGAGTCATCTTCTCTTGTAAAACACCAGAGAACACACACGCGAGAGAAACCCTTCAAGTGCAGTGTGTGTGGGAAGGCGTTTGCAAAGTCATCTACTCTTGTAATACACCAGAGAACTCACACGGGAGAGAAACCCTTCAAGTGCACTCCGTGCGGGAAGGCGTTTGCACAGTCATCAAATCTTCATGTACACCAGAGAACACACAAGCATCACAAGATCCACCAGGAGTGGAGTCTGAAATCAGCTTGTGAAAGTGAAAGTGTCGCAATGAGCCCATCCCTCGTGAAACAAGAACCAGAAGAAAATCCCAGCTTGGACAATTTTAAAGCTATCGAGGTGAAATATGAAGAGGTGAAGGTGGAATATGAAGAGGTGATGGTGAAGAGTGAAGAAGTGAAGGTAAAATGTGAAGATGATTAAAGTCCAGAATGTGACCTTCACATCGATGGAGGCAACGTGAAGCAGGAGGAGAATTCTGACTGAGGCAGAGCGAGGCAACTCCCAGCAGTTTGTGGAGGTGGAGGTGTGGGTGGACTTCCTAGACAATACAAAGTCAAATGGAGACCCGGTAGATGTGTAAGCCTGAGACGATGTCGCTCCAATAGATGCACCCTTGTCACAGGCCTTTAATGACAAGAATGTGAAGTTGAACACTCAATTCCTAGGTTCAACCTGCAGGGTAAGAGCGGCCAGTCTTTGTGGACCTGTGTGTTGGTAGATCTCTAACCAGGAGCGAGAGCCAATAAGCTCCCAAGCATGCACTATGTTATAATAATTGCTTTTACATAGTGCTAACTTAATCCGCTCAGCAATACGGAGTTTTGTGTCGTATCTCGTCTCAAACAAGAGCACCCCAAGTAGCAGCTGCCCCTGTGTGGCACAAGGTGGAGGCCCTGCACCGGCCTGAATATTGTCAAGAGCCTGTCGGTAGGGGGCGATGATTGATCTGTCATCTCAGCTGTGTCGTTTGTAGGTAATGTTTAGAATTTGCTAAATTTTTGACCCAGACGCCAACATGCAAAGGCCTACTCGTTTTGAATTGCACAATTGTGTGTTTCACATCCACTGTTCAGTAGAGGGTGCATTCTTGAAATAGCTCCTTGTTAATAAGATGTTATCTAAACTAAATTGTTCAATTTTGGAAGAACGTAATCAACCAGGTAGGGTGTTGACTGTTGTGTTGGCTGACTTGTGTTGTGTTGCATTATATTTCTAAGTTCACTATGTTTGTGTTTTCATTCACGTGTTGTACCTGATGATGGTTGCTTGTGTTCCAATCGAAACGTCGTATTCTATAAAATTTCGTTCTACGAGACTTTACTGAAAGAACCAGAGAATAAGATGTTATCTGATGCAGTATATTTCACTGCAGTAATTCAATTTTGTGCATATGCCTGTCAATAATTTAGAATGAATACTTGTCTGATTGTGTGCATACATGTAACACACACTGTACGTACACAATGCACACACACCGTGTACACACAGTGTGTGTACACTGTGCATTGTGTACACACACAGTGTGTACACTGTGCATTGTGTACACACAGTGCACACACACAGTGTACACACACACACAGTGTACACACACAGTGTACACACACAGTGTACACACACACAGTGTACACACACAGTCTACACACACAGTGTACACACACACAGTGTACACACACACAGTGTACACACACAGTGTACACACACACAGTGTACACACAGTACACACACACAGTGTACACACACACACACAGTGTACACACAAACACACTGTACACACACACAGTGTACACACACACAGTGTACACACACACTGTGTACACACACACAATGTTCACACAATGTACACACACACAGTGTACACACACACAGTGTACACACACATACACACACAGTGTACACACACAGTGTACACACACACAGTGTACACACACACACAGTGTACACACACACACACAGTGTACACACACCCAAGGGGTCTCTGTTCAAGAGATGGAGCAATGAAAATGGATCTAAATCAACTTAAACTCAACCCCGCTCGGTGACGTCACCACTCAGCATTACGTCATCCGCGTGAAACGCCAGGGAGGTGTACCTCGCTAGTGACGTCATGTCGCCAAGGATGTCACTCCCGTCCCCCGCGCTCTTGAACGTGACGTCACCTCCGCCTCGGTCACTGCAGACGTCGCTCCAGTTGCCAATCCTTATTTGGGCAAAGCCACGCCCAGGGACGGGCGGCTCATTAACAGAAAGAGTTCGTTAAAGACGTCACGAGGTTATTGCGACGGTCTCATTAACATAATTTATTCATATTTAGTTACAGAGCCGCTCGTTGTGGGAGGGGCGTGTCTTGTGCCCAGGAAGTGACGTCATGTCACCTACTACCGCGTGACGTCACGAGGTGACAGGAAGCTGTCGCCTCGCGCGTGCAGTGAGGTGAGAAATTCTCATCGTTGTTGTTGTGGTTGTTGTGGTTGTTGTTGTGGTTGTTGTTGTTTACCCAGCTAGAGCCTCGCGCTCTCTCTCGTAGGGACGTCAATAGAGCAGCAGCAGCTTGTGAATCGATGTCCAAGTTGGAACTTTACAACGCGGGGCCTAGACACGCGGGGCCTTGCCTCCTGCCCTCGCCTGGTTGCGTTTGCTTTAATTCTCTCGCTTATGTTTAATTTGTCTTCACTACTTTGTAACTTTGGTTTATTGTAAATATTAACGCAGTTTTTTTTCTTTTTTTTACCAGGCCAAGCCCGCTTGAGCTGCGATACACCTTGTGTTGTGGGCGACATGCCCACAACACAAGGTGGGTTTTGTCAACGCGTGTGTCAGTGTTTTGACTTAAAACTTTCGTAACTGCAGCAATTAATATTCTTGGTTCTTTCGGCAAAGTCACGTGGATAGAAAATTAAATAAAAATAACGGTTAATAAAATTAATCAAAATAAACAAAATTGTAAATATATAAAAACCACGACGTTTCGATCGCAACACAAGCGGTCTTTATTAATTTAATTCTATTATCTATTACTGTTATTTCCTATCTACGCAACTTTACCGAAAGAACCAAGACTACGTGTGGAAATGTGTATCGGTCAAAGACGCTGCACGCGTGCTGATGTTGACTCTAAATGTGGAGGGGAAACCCGGGAGATTCGGAGGAAAATCCACGCGACCACGGAGAGAGAGACACGCAAACTCCAAATATACAGCAGCAGCAGCAGCAGGCGTCAGGGTCGGGATCGAACCCACGACTTCCTGTATACCAGGCGAGGTAGTTAACATCTCACCATGGAGAGAGAGAGAGAGACACGCAAACTCCAAATATACAGCAGCAGCAGGCGTCAGGGTCGGGATCGAACCCACGACTTCCTGTACACCAGGTGAGGTAGTCAACATCTCACCACGGAGAGAGAGAGAGAGACACGCAAACTCCAAATATACAGCAGCAGCAGCAGGGCCGGGATCGAACCCACGACTTCCTGTACACCAGGTGAGGTAGTTAACATCTCACCACGGAGATACGAGGGCTTCCAGGCACATTTATGACCATTTGCCCTCTCGTCGTGTGCAATAACAGCCCGTGTGATAAACTTGGGAAACGTTTTCACTGCATCATGAATATGTGAATGAGTCTAGATGTGTAAGTCACGTGTGACTGTGTTTTTGCATTCCTCTGTGTCTCGATACTGGGAGTGGATATTCTTTTCTGTCTGCAGCTGTCGCTTGGTCTGATGGAGCAAAGACGCTCAGCGCAGGTCGATACGACAAGTCAACAATGCGACCAGCGTGGATACAGCACAGATCAGACTGTAAATTTGACACAGCACCAGAGAACACAAACAGGAGAGAAACCATTAAAGTGCACTGTGTGTGGGATGGCGTTTGCATGGCCATCAGTCCTTACAAGACACCAGAGAACACACACGGGAGAGAAACCCTTCAAGTGCACTGTGTGTGACGAGGCATTTGCATGGCGATCTTCTCTTAAAAGACACCAGAGAACACATACAGGAGAGAAACCCTTCAAGTGTACTCTGTGCGGGAAGGCGTTTTCTGTTTTCCATCTTCTCGTAATACACCAGAGAACACACACGGGAGAGAAACCCTTCGAGTGCAGTGTATGTGGGAAGGCATTTTCACAGTCATCTGTTCTTAAAAGACACCAGAGAACTCACACAGGAGAGAAACCCTTCAAGTGCAGTGTGTGTGGGAAGGCATTTTCACAGTCATCTGTTCTTAAAAGACACCAGAGAATACACACAGGAGAGAAACCCTTCAAGTGCAGTGTGTGTGGGAAGGCATTTACACAGTCAACTGCTCTTGTAACACACCAGAGAACACACACAGGAGAGAAACCCTACAAGTGCATTCTGTGCGGGAAGACGTTTTCAGATTCTTCCAATCTTAAAGTCCACCAGAGAACACACAAGCATCAGAATATCCACCAGGAGTGGAGTCTGAAATCAGCTTGTGAAAGTCAAAGTGCTGCAATGAGCCCATCCCTCGAGAAACAAGAACTGGAAGAAAATCCCAGCTTGGACACTTTTAAAGGTATCGAGGTGAAATATGAAGAGGTGAAGGTGGAATGTCAAGAAGTGGAAGTAATATTTGAAGACGAAGATTCAAGTGCAGAATCGGACCTTCACATTGACGAGGGCAACGTGAAGCAGGAGGAGAATTCTTACTGTGAGGCGTGGGTGGACTTCCTAGTAGGCCTCGGCAAGTTCAGGTAATTTACCCTTTTTACCAGGTCAAAGGGTAAAGTGTAGGGTAAAGGTAGCTCGGAAGAGTTACCCGGTAGGGTAAAGGTAGCATGAAGTATTACCCGGTAAATACGGTACCTAAAAGCTCCGTGGCGCAGTCTGTGGCCTCCATTTAATAAGTAATATTTTTTTAAACTTTTTTAAAACACGCTTTAATGAAATGTACAGTACTAGTAATGGCAGAACTCCAGGAAGTGGCCCCGAAGCTTGCCATAACGTAAGGGACCGTGGCCAATTACAGCCAACGTCAGTTGATTGTGAATAAATTAGACACAAGCCGAAACATAACAAAAAGAATGTTTAAAAATGTGTTTTAAAATTTGTTATGATTGAATATAGTATTGTCATCAGTATGACATAAGTATACCAAGTTTGCAGTCGATACCACATTGGGAAGTGGGTTATAATTGAGTTACAAGATTTGAGGACATAACAACGATAACAACAGAGTGAGTTGGAATAATTGAGAGTTTTCTATATGAATAAAGTGCTCTACCTTATAGCATTTACCGTTATAAACCGTTTTCATGTGTAGTAGTACCCCAGTAATCACCCTTTAATTGGGTAATTTGTATGTGGTAAAAGGCTCGTTGCTTTTTAACTTTTACCTTACCTTGCCGAAGCCTACTTCCTAGACAATACAAAGTCAAAAGGAGACCGGTAGATGTGTAAGCTTGAGACGATGTCGCTCTAAGCTATGCACCTTTGTCACAGGCCTTGAATGACAAGAATGTGAAGTTGAACACTCGGTTCCTAAGTTCAACCTGCAGAGTAAGGGCGAGTGGCCAGTCTTTGTGGACCTGTGTGTTGGGTAGATCTCTGACCAGGCGCGAGAGCCAACAAGCCCCCAAGCATTCACGATGTTCTCATCATAATTGCATTTATATGGTGCTTGCTTAATCGCCTCGGCAACTCGGAGTTTTGTATCGTATCTCGTCTCAAACACTCGAAGAGCATCCCAAGTGGCAGCTGCCCCTGTGTGGCACAAGGTGGTGGCCCTGCACCGGCCTGCGTGTTGTCAAGAGCCTGTCGGTGGGGGGCGATGGTTGATGTGGCATCTGAGTTGTGTAATTTGTCGGTGATGTTTAGAATTTGCTAGTTTGACTCGGACGCCAACATGCAATGGCCTACTCGTTTTGAACGACACACTCGTGTGTTATACATCCACTGTGGAGTGGACGGTGCATATTGTTTAAAATAGCTTCTTAATGAGATGTTATCTGATGCAGTATATTTCACTGCAGTAACTACATTTTGTTAAAATGCCTGTCAATAATTTAGAATGAACACTTTTCTGATGTGTGTACATGCAACATTTGATCTATAAGGGTCAAACATCGAATAAGTGATGTTAGGACAAAGTGTGTGTTTTTGTAAGTAACCTGGACAGATCACTCGGGTGAGACCCGTTGATTTGTGGTACAGGTCAAAGGGTATTTTTGTGTTTCGGGAAGTATCTGTCTCTGGAGCAACTCATTGTCTTTGAAATAGGGAGCACACTCGAATCATCCGTCAGTTACAAGGCGTACCGCTTAAAAGTTACACGTAGAGGAGATACATTCTCTACAACACGAATTATAATTTTGTATTACGTGTTGACAGATTTTGTCAAACTAGGGCGAGAAATAGTCCTTGCTGATTCACGTCTGGAGGTTAGTAGCTATCAGTTGAAGCAAGTCCAGCTGCTGTTGAGACGCTGCGCACCAGTAAGGGTCACCAGGTGGCTTGCACTGAATCAGTGATGCGCTCCCAGAAGGCCGTGATGATTACAGTTTAAATAATTCCTTTGTTTCGTGGAGAGAACGATAAATGAAATATGTAAAGTCTGGATTCTTTCATAGCAAAGGAGGTAATTTTAAGAACACATTTGAAATGAATTTTTTTACAATCTTGTATTCAGTTACAAGACAGAGCACATTTAGTAGATACATTCTACACAACGCTAATTAGGATTTTGTATGACGTCTTATGTTGGTGAACTAGGACAAGAAATGGTCCTTGCTGATTCACGTCTGGATGTTGACAACCGTGGGTTGAAGCAGGCCGGGCTGCTGGTGAGACGCTGAGCACCAATAATGGTCCCCAGGTGGCTTGCACTGAATCAGCGATGCACTCCCAGAAGGCCGTGATGATTATAGTTTGTGTTGTTTAAACTGTGGCATTGTTTCACCTGTGCCATTGTTTCGACTGTGGCATTGTTTCGACTGTGGCATTGTTTCGACTGCGGCATTGTTTCACCTGTGGCATTGTTTCAACTTGGCATTGTTTCACCTGTGGCATTGTTTCAACTGTGCCATTGTTTCAACTATGCCATTGTTTCACCTGTGGCATTGATTCAACTTGGCATTGTTTCAACTGTGCCATTGTTTCAACTGTGGCATTGTTTCAACTTGGCATTGTTTCAACTGTGCCATTGTTTCAACTATGCCATTGTTTCACCTGTGGCATTGATTCAACTTGGCATTGTTTCAACTGTGGCATTGTTTAAACTGTGCCATTGTTTCAACTGTGGCATTGTTTCAACTGTGGCATTGTTTCACCTGTGCCATTGTTTTGACTGTGCCATTGTTTTGACTGGCACCGAGAGAATGAACCAGCGGCCGCTGCGTTGCAAGTTGAGTGTGCAGAACCACTGCACCACACCCCAGAAACCACTGCACCTCAACACCCCAGAAACCACTGCACCACAACCCTGGCCATTGACCGAGCAACCCAACGATGCTACCAGCTCCCTCCGCAGGACAATGTGTTCACACTGCGACTGCACGCAGAGGTGAGGCAATAGCTACAGGTCTAGGCATGTGTGACGTGTAAGTGTTGGCCGACCGTCATTCTCTGTTAGACATTAGGGACGCCTAAGATGTGACGTGCGTTTTTGTCCAGCCTGCTCGTGTTGACATCCAGTGTGACACAGACAATGTACCGTGCTGTAGATTGCAACGAAAGTCACTGACGACAACCTACCAACAGGAAATAAACATTTGCAAAGTCACTTGTTGTTCAGTCTTATGTATGTGGTTGCATCAACAATGATTTAATATGCTCTGTTTTTCTGTGTGCGCATATGTATAGTGCACACGTGTGCGTGACGTCAGGTGTGCCGTTCAGTGCGATGACGTCACGTCTCCTAGGGTACTTAAGGGAGACCCCGTGACGTGAGCGGGGTCACCGTGGTAACAGAGTAAGCAGGGTGAAGAGGGAACCAGGGGTAGAGAGAGGGATAGAGTGGTGAGTCTGGGAGAAGCCGGTGGTAGCCGTAGAGGCGCTTCTCTCTCCGCTCGGTGTAGTCGGCAGAGTCCCCGATCCGACACGAGAGAGAGACCGGAGCCAGCCGGCAGGGACCCGCACTCAGAGTAGGACCCCCCTAGCCCCTGGGAGTTGTGCACCCTGCTGTGTGTGTTAGTGTCACTAACAGCTTCAATAGACCCTGGGAGTTGTATACCCTGCTGTGTGTGTTAGTGTAACAGCTTCAATAAACCCTGGGAGTTGTGTACACTGCTGTTTGTGTTAGTGTCACTAACAGCTTCAATAAACCCTGGGAGTTGTATACACTGCTGTGTGTATGAAATAGCAACAAAAAATCTAACCTGAAAACTATAGACAGGTATTAAGCAGACAGATATCACCAAGATACATAGAGAGAGTAACACAGGTACAGAGAGGGAGATCGTCTCTGTGGCGTGGCCTTAAATAGACAGAGGGGGGGCGGAGGCAGAGGGAGGGAGGGGTTAGAGACAAAATGTACATGTCAATGAGTACGAAGAGACGCATAGTAAAGTAACGCAGGCTTGAACATTAGGAGAGAGGGAGAAAGAACACACTAAAATAACCTAGCAAAATATCGAAATGTTATGTAATACAACACAGAGAGTCGGTTAACACACAACGCATAGCCTGGTCGATTACGTATTTCAAAGATTGCTAAGTTAGAATTTAAGTGTGAAAGTTCCAAAGAAAGACAAAACATAAAAACAAGAGGAACGGAGACACAGACAGAGCAGAACATAAGAACGACAAAAAACGAGTGGAGACAGGAAAAAGTACACTAAATATACAGGCAGAGAGAGAGAACAAGGTAAACTTGGTGGTTCAATCTTAATTTTGGAGCTGTCGTGACTGTATCTTGGTGATGTCTGTCTGCTTGTAAGTCTGTACCCAGCTGAGCGCCGCTGGTGCGAGCTGTGACCAGCTGTGACGAGCTGTGACGAGTTGTGACGAGCTGTGACGAATTGTGACGAGCTGTGACGAGCGGCTGGCCTCGTGACGAGCGCCATGGCCAGTGGGAGGGGCTTCCACGCAGAGTGGTCCAGAGCGTCTGGGGGGGGGGGTAGGGGGGGGTAGGGGGGGTAGGGGGGTCTGCAGGGGGGGTGGTTCTGGCCCCGCAAGAGTTCCCCGAGTGGAGTGTTGTGGCTGCGTGGAGTTTGGATGTTCTCCATCTGCTCTGCGTGGATATCGTCAGATTCATCTCATTTCCTCCCATAAGTGAAACTAAAATGTGACTGGTATGGGCCAGACGTGGGTGGGGCTGTTTGGAGAGGGGAGGGTGGGGAAGGGAGGGTGGGGTGGGGCTGGGTGAGGAGAGGAGGGTAGAGGGTGGGGCTGGGTGGGGAGGGGAGAGTGGAGAAGGGCTGGGTGAGGAGGGGAGGGTGGGGAGGGGCTGGCTTGGAGAGGGAAGG